CGCCAAGGAAGGTAGTCCTCAATGGCGGCCAACTTAGTTGTAACTATGTTCGTCACATTGGGAGTAGAGAATGTCAACTGGGAAGCCAATGTGGATAGAGATGTTACCGGAGGGGTGAAGCCAGGGAGACGACCAATCTGCGGGGACTCGAGCGGAAGAATACCAGGGTGCCCAGCAAGTGTAGATCCTGAGAAGATATGTGCCGGTGTAGACTGTATGGAAGAGAAGGATGCTTGCGGAAACAGGCCCTGTGGAACAGTAGGTGTCGGCATCCATGTAAAGGGTTCCGGCATAGTGAAGGGTGCAAAAGATGACACCGGTGGACTGAACGAATGAACCAGGGGCGACATAGACGGCACGATATTATCAACCGAAGATAAGGGGGACTCCATCATAAAAGAGGAAGGCTGCTCCAGCATAAGCGTTGCGGGCGCCAAAGTGGATGTCGTGGAGGCATCTACAGTTGAAAACGCCATGGAGGATGGCATTGTAACTTGCGGCTGTGAAGCAGATGTCATGGTGGCCGCTGAAGAAGATGTTGCCATAATTGGAATAGGGTTTATACCCGTACGTCTGATACCATATGAACAACTAAAGTTATGAGAATAAGGCTTAACCTAGCAGGCAGCCGTATGCATATATTTATATGAGATAATAAGAGTAACAATTACAATTATACCCTTATAATATTCTATTATAAATGTCATTAAAGTGGATGCTGCTCCACATTAATCAATTAATTATCAATCAATTAATGCAAAGCTCTCCAAGCAAATCCAGCTAATTATGCCTACCAAGAAATATGAATAATGAACCAAAAATCATCATTATATATTCAGCAGCACCAGCAGCAGCAGTCCGCCACCGGCGGCAGAGCATTTCAACCTTTTCTTTCATCCATCGATCATATTCATACATTTAATTACAACAAGAGTTGTCTTGTCTTATTACTATTTCTCCGTATCACTTAATTTAAACAATCGAAGCAAAAAAGGTTATTATGGGGATTTTGGAAGGACACACTCGATTGGTTTGAATGTTAGTTTTTCATTTGTCCGTTCAAACTTAATGCACTATTGTTCCTATAATCGTATCAATCCACTACATTTTGTGTATAATTTTATCTAACATAATCTTATCCCAATCTTACTTAATGTTGTCTCCATCCCAATTGAGAACCCTATTTCATTCGCATTATTTTTAAACGCTAGCATGATAATACTAATGAATTTTTTCTAAAATATTGCTAATAGAACATTTATGGACAAAAATATGATTATAACTATGAATAATTAAGTTTCATAATCATTACGATCTAACATTGAGTATAATTATAATACTAAAGTTACTAGAGTCACATTTTTATCTATCACTACCTCCGTCCCATTTATATTGTCCCACAAGCGGGTGACACGGTTATTAAGAAAAGTGGGTTTGTGTGGTTGATATTAATTGATAAAGTAAGAATAAAGTAAGAATGATTTAGAGTTACACAAACTTTGCCAAATATGGTTGAGACAATTTAAGTGGGACTTCCCGAAAAGGTAAAACGGGACAATATAAATGGGACGGAGGGAGTACTTTTATTTTGGTTATATGTTTGGGATTATTTCAATAAATATCATGAATTAACAATCGTAATTGTTATAATCTATTAAATACTACCTCAGTCCCATTAACATTATAGGGGACACCCTTTTCTGTTTTTACTACGATTGTTACTACGAGTAATTCTCACCATAGAAGTTCTCTTAATAAATTTCTCATTTTGTTCTTTTGATAACACCAAATCCCGACTTTATGGGGTTAAACTTGTGCTCTCAAGAATACACCTAAATCATTCACATAAGTAAATAAACATACTACAGGTAATTGCAAAAGTCTCGGCACAGGGCCGTCTACTAGGTTGTGCAAGCAGTGCTTCTGCACTGGGCCTACAAATAATTAAGGCCCACATTTTTAAAAAAACCAGTAGTATATATATGATTATTTAATAGAAATTCAAGAGCCCAGCTAAAAAATATGTAGTAGTAGTAGTAGTAATAAAGAACTCAACGCTTTTTAGTTTTTACGTATGTGGATCAAGCAACTAAGCATTGTGATTTTCTCATTTCTTTGATTCTTTGTACTTTGATTTGCCAACAGGGACGATTCTTTGATTCTTTGATTTGATTGTTTGATTTTAGTTTTTTGCCTAAATGCCTAATAACAATAATTCAAGTAAGATTTAAGAAATTGGGATAAGTATGTTATAAGTAAATACTAGTAGTAAGTACTTTAGGTTTATAAATATTAATTATTTTATTATTTCACCGAAAATGTAAATTGAATTTTAACAAAAATTTATTAAACACGTACAAGATTAAGAGAAAATTTCGATAATTGGTACATAGTACTTCATATTTGATTTAATTATGTTCCCACAAAATATCCATCCGGTCATGGAAAAAAGGCCCAATTTTTTTTGTTGCACGGGGTCCCCGTTTCTTAGGGACGGCCCTGTCTCGGCATATACCCCACAAATTTTTGGAGGTTTGTCTATTTTGTACAAAAATTACATACATGCATGCAAGCATGCATGTAATACTTTTTTTTTTACCAGGCATGCATCTAATACTTGATATTAGGATAAAAGGATTAATAGTACTACTTGTATAAACAAGATGTATCTACTTTTAAGTAGGTCATCTCCTAAGATTTCTAAGTTAAGTGTGTTTGAATGTGAGTTGTTCTGGAATTATTGGTGACCAATTGGAAGTTTCACAGGGCGCACGAGCAGGGGCGGAACTAGTAAGGGGCTCGGAGGGGCCTGGGCACCTGCGGTTTTTTATATATATTTATTATATATACATATTAAATATAAAAATGTAAATTGTAAATATTTATAAAATATGTGACTTATGCATTAATAACCAATATGTTAACAAGAGGATGTTGTAGCAAAATGGAGGAGGTAAGTGTGCGTGTCTTTGGATTAGGAAAAGGTCTAGGGTTTGAATCCTATCTTAGGTATGTTTTAATATTTTGCTTTATTTGTGTCTTTTTAAAGCTTTAAATTATTTTAAAATGGCCTTAAATAGCTGTATTCAAATTTTGGTGATGTACCATTTTGCTCTCTAGTATGTGGGTAGGAATCACAATTTTGCTATGACAGCTTTCTCATTAAATTGACACGTTATATTTAATTTCTTGCTTTTTGGTTTCATAAAAAATCTCACATTTGATCTTGTATTAGTTGTATGTAATTAAATTTGTGATTTCTCAATTTACTTTTCAAGATATTATTTTCTATAATAAATTAAAATTGTGTATATGTAGCATATTCTAGATAGTGGATGCAACATTTTCTGGAGATGTTCGCTTTCCCATTAGTGCCCCTCCAAGGTCTCCGAGCTGGTTCCGCCACTACGCACGAGTGAGGACAAAGTGCGCGATAAATGCTTGTGTTGGTTTGTGTGAACAATACTAGAGGTTTGGAGAGTATCTAGGAGTAACTATCTCTGGCTTCATGGGGTCGGGGTGTTACAGATTTATAGGGTTGCTCTGATATTAAGATTGTCTCAGAGCAACCCTAGGAGAGTGTGTTGATCCAGTGGATATCAGACATGTACTAATACCTGAGATTAGTTTAAAAGGATTAATAGTACTACTCATACCAACAAGGTGCATCTCCTTTTAATGAGATCATCTCCTAAGAACTCCAAATTAAGCGTGTTTGCGTGAGATCGAGTAGTTTTGGTATAGGTGACCCTCTTGATAGTTTCTCAGGACTCCACGATTGAGGATAAAGTGCGCAGTAAAGGCTTTTGTTATTGTGAGGACAGTATAACACACACAAGATATTATCCATTCTAGTGTAGTTTTCGTTTTTCGGGACTTTTGATGGGCACTCCCTACTTTCTTAGCATTTGATCTTCACATTTAGTTCTTTTGCCTAAATAGACGTGTCCGACACCTTTGGTGACTTCAGGTCCATTTTCTTGAGAACCTTCGTTATTCATGAGAAATGTGTGTACAAAAATCTTAGCTTTCAGTATAGGTTTTGCCTTGCACAATATTGTATCTGATGAGCAAGTATATTTTATGAAAGATATAGATATAACTGATCATATTATGCTAGCTAAGGAACTTTTTTATCCTCTAGATGCGAAGGCTGGAGAAGATAATGTGATTATTAAACTGGACATAGTCAAAGCATTTGATCGAATTGAATGGCCATTTCTATTCGTTATTCTACTCAAATTTGGACTCTTAGTTCAAGAGGTTAATGTCATTATTAATTATCTTAAATCAACTCATCTTCTCATTATTATTAATGGGACACCTCAAGTCTTTTTCCATGTTTCCATGGGTAAATTAAGGGGACCCTTTGTCACCCTTTCTCTAAATTATAATGTCATAAGACTTTTTTAGAAGTTTGAATTTTGATGTAGGATGGACATATTCAAGCTTAATATGTTGCTAGAGATGTTCTCACTATTTCTCACTTTACATTTGCCGATGACCTTTTGGTCTTCCTCAATGGCTCATCTAGCTCTCTTGTGAAATTCATAAATTTTCTTCAATTATACCAACATGCTACTGGATATAAGGTGAACTTGTAGTAGAGTACTTTTGTAACTAACTCTAAATTCTCTGTTATTAGGAAGAAGACGATGGAAAAGATTTTGCAAATGAAAAGTACCAGCCTTCCCTATATATATATACATAAGGGTCATTATCCAGAATCACTATGGCTAAACTTTGTGTGGAAGTGGTTTCATGATTTGAGCAAAATCTCCAATTTCGGAAGACTACACTCTTTCTCAGAGTGGCAGATTTGTCCTAAGTAATCATGTTTAGAATACTCATCCATTGCATCATTTAGCCGCTGATACTCCACCAAATAAAAAAGATTATTTCTAGTTTGGAGCAAAATTTGGCAACTTTCTTTTGAGGAGTTTTAACCAAATTAAACATCAGGCTCATCCCTAGACAGCTTGGAAGCACTTAGATGTTATCCTAAATTGAAAAGCGGTTTGGGTGTCAGATCCATTCCTTGTTTACATCTTGCTTACTCCTATAAAGTATAAACTATGGTGGAAGTGGAAGGGAAAACCCTCCTTGTGAGCTTCCTTACATGTACAGGAGAGATCAAAGAATGGGAAACATGCGTCCTAAACGAATTGTTTCCCCAATTTGGAAGATGACTTGTCAAGTTCACTCACAATGTATCCCTCTTGTCAAAACTGAGATAGATGAAATTCTTTCGTAGTCTTTAGAATGTGATTTGACGTTCTTCCTTACCATATATGCTTATGAGGCTGGGAGAAAATGTGAAGGATCAACCTTTTCTTTAACCAAAATTTGGCACAAAAAGCAAATGCCTAACATCCAGGTTTTCCTTTGGAAGCTAAACCGCAATATGTTACCTTTCCCCTCATTGCTATGCAGATTTAAGGTTATGCTACCGTCTCGTTGTCCATTTTTCTTAACCGAGTCTGCTGATCCAGATCATTGCTTGTTCCCTTGTCCATTTGCTTTGGAAATATGGCACTTTTTCATGGGTATTTTCATTATTCCCAGACCTATACCTATCAATATTGCACTATCAAACAATTGCTCATCTCTGGGTGACTTGAAGCAACAATAAATTATGCTATGGAAAATCTTAATTTGATCATTTTATCTGGGGTGATGACTTGGTGTTTATGGAAAACCTATGCTTTGATTATTTATTTATTTGGGGTGGGTCTAGTCTTCCACATCAAGAAGCACATGTGGCTATGGTCCTTAAGCTTGTAAAACACTAAATATGCTAGTCAACCCCAAGTTATTCCAAGAAGGCTTTATCCCCAATTACCCAAATGGACTTCAAAACCGAAGTTGGAGTTCTGGCTTAAGCCAATTTCGAGCTTTAAACTCAATGTTCACATTTCAGATTCATCAGGTGCAGCAATCATGTGTAATTGTAGAAGTCAATTCATTTTCGCTATCTCCTTTCCTTCTAAAGCAACTACTCTTCTTCATTCGGAAATAATTGGCATTTCTTTTGGGTTAAACTGGGCAATTTCAGAAGGATTCCCATATTTTATCCTCAAAATTGATTCGCACTCAGTTTACTCTTTGCTTAGCAAATGAAGGACCTCTCTAGTAGGGGTGGACCCGGGCCGGGCCGGTTCCGGTTCGGGCCTAGGCCCGGCCGGGCTTTTATCTGGGAAAGGTGGAACCGGAACCGGCCCGGGTAGCCGGCGGTTCCGGGCCGGTTCCGGTTCGGGCTTATTTTTTTATTTTGTTTTGCTTTTGTAATCAACCCCCGACCCCCCCCCCCTCACCCCCACCTCCCAAACCCCCCAAAACACCCAACCCAACCCGGTAGAATAAAAAAAAATGAAAAAGAAAAAAAATAGGCCCGAACCGGCCGGGCTGGTTCGCGTTTTAGGGGGCCCGAACCGGCTCCAAGACCGGGGTACCGGGCCGGGCCCAAACAGTACCAGGCCGGGCCGCCCGGCCCGAGTCCACCCCTGCTCTCTAGCCCTATGCGTGATCTCCAGAGCCATCCAAGACACTGTGAAGCGATATAATATCACTGTGGCGGTTTGCAGATTACATACTAACAAGGAGGCTAATTTGCTGGCCAACTTGTGTTCATCTACGTCCATGGTCTGCTACTCTGCTTCCATAAGCTTAACATTTTACATCAGCATATTCATGGTGCTATACTTTCAGAAGCCAAGAATGTACCTTATATTTGTTTTGATACGGGATAAGGTTTTATGAACCAATAATATACTGCGTAGTAAGTGTTACAAACAATATCTTAAGGTTGATATTTTTTGGGCTAAAAAAATCGCTTCAGCATTAAAAGTAACTACAGCGCTAGATTTTCATTTTTACTCGAGTATAAACAGATTGCAAAAGCACAACCATCATATAAGTTTGTACAAGTGTACAACGCAGTAATTTATCAGGTATGGGCGATAAACAAAACGGTGGTAGAAAGGTAAGTAGGAGAGAGAGGGAGAATTGCCCCTCATGAATTGCTCACCCTTAGTAGGGATGGACTCGGGCCGGGCGGCCCGGCCCGGAACCGGCCCGACCCGGTTACTGTTTGAACCGGCCCGGCCCGGGAACCGGTCCGGGGGGCGGTTCGGGTCGGCCCGGCCCGGTTACTATGCGATTCGGGCCCGGGCCCTTTGATTGGCGAACCGGCCCGGCCGGTTCGGGCCCGGTTCGGGCCAAATTATTATTATTATTATTATTATTATTATTATTTCGAATTTTTTTTAAGTTTTTGGGTTGAGCTTGGTATTTTGGGCCATTTGAGATGGTTTGGGGTGGTTTGGGGGTGAGGGGAAGGGTTGGGGATTAATTAGGAAAAGCCAAAAAAAAAAAAAATTAGAACCGAGGCCCGGCCCGGCCCGGCCCGAACCGGAACCGGGATTACCCGGGCCGGTTCCGGGCCTCCCATTTCTGAACCGAGGCCCGGCCGGGCCCAAGCCCGAACCGGGCCCGAACCGGAACCGGTCCACCCATAACCCTTAGGGTATGTTTGGTTCAAGGAATGTCAGATTATCATGAGAATGTTATATTGCTGGGTATGTTAGATTGATGAGAATATATTCAATTTGTACCCATTTGTGTTTGGTTGAGACTAAAGGAATGTGACATTAATTTGTTTGGTTAAATCATATATTATACAACAAACTTGGTGAATTACTTTAATGCCCTTAAAATATTTTTTCGTAATACCTTTATTACAATCATCGAAGTCTCGAGAAAGAATGTCTTCATCAATAGGAGCCTACGTTTCTCATCGATCCAAAAATCAATGAACCACACGTCACCAATAGAATGACCTGATTATTCAAGGACTTAGGGGGCAATTAATTAATTAGATTAGGGGTAGAAAATTAATGGTTGATCCTACTTAGGAAATATTAGATATTGACTCCTATTTAAGGAAAAGTTGCATGTTATATTTTACTCCTACTAAAGGTAATTCACTATCAACCACTAGTGAAAAAAAATTAATGTTTGATCCTTCTAAATCATTCTTACTTTATTCTAAATTTATTAATACCTCCGTCCCTTTTTTATTGGGACGGAAGATGGTGGCACGAGTTTTAAAGTGTGTTTGTGTGGTTGATATTAATTGATAATGTAAGAATAAAGTAAGAATAAAGTAAGAATGATTTAATTTTGAGCCATACAAACTTTACCAAATAAGGTATGAGACAATTAAATAGGGACTTCCCAATATGATAAAACGGGACATTTAAAAGGGGACGGAGGGAGTAATTCACTATCAACCACATTAACTCCTTTTTCTTAATAATAACACCACCTTCTCATATATTAAGTTATCATGATCATTTAAGTTTAAAAGTTCAATATAAGTTATTATGATTAAATTACTACTGTAGTCACTTCTCACATTTTTGTAAACAGTCTTTATTTTAGTCATAAATATGTAATTATTTCATTAATTTTTAATAAATCAAATTCAAAAGTATACATTTTGTATTTCTTAATCCAATATGGATGGGTTTGTTTAAAAAAAATTCCAATGCAGATGGGTTAAGAAAAATGAAAAATAAATACTATGTGTGCTATTTAAACCATTTTGGTTAAATGAGAATGGGTATGTTTGGAATAAAATTCACTCCCACTAAGGAATGTAAGATAACCTAAGAGTGGAGTGGATTTGAGATGAAGGGGCATCCTATCACTTTCTCTTCTTTTTCGGAATGTGACATTTCCCCCATAAAAATAAACCTTGAACCAAACATACCCTTACAGATTTAATGGCTTCTTCGAGGTGGTGGTGTATCTCATAACCATGCCGGCGACATATTTAGCTGCCCATAAGGAGCCAGCCTCTGTGCATGAGAAAGCGTGAGAATGGCCCTCCTCTTCCACTGTTACCACTGCTCCTGGAACCTTCTCACAAATCTGTATGAAATAAATAAATAGATGTTCAGAAATTCAGCCCATCTCGACTGGAGAGAGAGCAGCATTATTCCCCCTACTGTTAATGTTGATTTTCAGAATGAATCAATGGATGAACTTACCTCTTCAAGTACATGCACAGGGCCCCAGTGATCATCATCCCCAAATAAAAAGGCTATTTGGCTTCTGTTGTCCCTCAAGAAGGCCCAATCGAGTGCCTCAGAAAGCTAATCTCATTGTTATAAACACCCAACAAATCGGTGAATAGAAATGAAAGGGTGGGAGTTACTTTGAAGGGTGGGATCACCGTCTTACCTTATCGAACTCTGTCATTGCCATGAAAAGTACGTTCTGCATCGTGTGGAACTGGAAAAATAATCACATTTCCAAACTGTGATTATTAATCGAATATTTAAACAGTAACCATTTTAAGAAGTGCAAGCGCTTCTGAAACACTCAAATATAGGAAATAAAATATAGACACCTACTCAATAGAGAGAAGCTGACCTGGAGAAGATGTGTACAAAGGGCATCAACTGCAGTAGGAGACCATAACTTCCCAACATATTTCTTCACAAAATATGTAGAGATCCAGGCTGGTAGCATTCCCAAACATGCCACAATAGAACTAAGCATTGCAGATATACTCCTCGATCTGCACGTACATTGTAACGTAAATGCTTCACTTAGACAGAACACCAAATATACTAAATCCACTAGTACTGCTCAGGGCCCGTTTAGTGACCCCTATTTCCAGCTGATCAGCCTTATCAATATTGTAACTTTTGATTTCGCGTTCTAAATTGTGTAATAATAAAAATAAGTAAGGTTAGAGGTACTTTTCCTGGCTAAATTGGCTGGAGTTATTGTAGAGGACCATTTTAGCTATTTTTCATATATTTTTTTCTTTAATTTATTAATAGAATATATTTAAAGTATACTTATTCCATAATTCAGCTGATTCTACCAATTCAGCCAGGATTTCATGAACTTCAGCACATTCAGCTAATTTAGTGTGACCAAAGAGGCCCTCAGTGTTATAAACAACATGAGGGTATATTTTATGAGGTAGACAGGTTTAGCGATGAAGACTATCGAATTCTTCGTGTACATCTTGAGATTTAATAAAAATTAGAGAAATAATATTATAGGTGATCACATAAGTTACATAACATTATAATGACCCTTTATTCGTTTTTTAAAACATTATCACCATATTGACTATGCCCTCCAAAACTCTTCATCCAAAGACCCTAAGAAGAAACACTCTGTGTGTATGAATGAGGAAGAGAAAGAGAAGTGGGAGGAAGGAGATTTACGCTGCAATCTTCTTAATAAAAGATTGTGTCCAAGATTTGGTGTTCACAGTCAGAAATGGATATAGTCCAATGCAGAACCCCACCTAAATTATAAAAGATGGAGTATATATTAAATTGTGAAAACCACAATGATAAGATTTTACACAACACTTTTATGTTCTTCATTTCTTACCTCTTTCTGTAATCTTTTAAAGATTTCCAGAGATATGTAGGAGCCAATTGAGTGGCCAACCTTTGAAGAAAATGAAACTTCAGTTGATCTCAAATACACAGGTGCGCGCGCGCACACACACACATCATTATGTAAGTACTCGCATTAGGGTCAGCATGAGAGAGCCTTAGGCGCTCAGGGAACACCACATCATCGGATAAGTTAGATTATAAGGCCAAAATAAGTCAGAAATCCTACCAGGATTATAGGAACTTCAACATTATTAAATTCCTGCTCAATAAAGTTCATCTGGATAGAAAATGAATATCATAATGAGTATATGTTAAAACTGAAATGCAGACTACCTAAAAATGCAAGCAAAAGGTGAGCAAGAAGCGTTCATGTCAAACATTCACACTAGCAATAAACATGAACTATCTGGGGCAGCTTAAAAACAATTACCAAGCAATGCAAAAACTAAATCGTTGTTTGAAACCGTTTCATATTAGCCTAAGTAGCATGGGAACGCGAAATAGGAAAGGTGAAACGGAAATCAATAACATGAGAAATGTGATTTCTAAACAATATATGATATGACAAGTGGGGGAAATGCGTAAATTTTAAAAAATATGAGGATATATTTGTAAAGTAATCATATACATAAATGTTTTTCATATACATAGTATATACATATGCACACATTTTTTCATATAACTTTGTTTGATAACAAATTATAGATACATTCTAGTACTGAATTGCTTTATGAAGCATCACAATGTTGTTAGAAAGAAATATCCATAAAGTTCACTAAAAAGCTGTAAACAAACTTTTCTATCAAAGAATCCTATCAAAAAGAGAGAAAATTGGAAACACAATGTTTCCGGAACGCTAATTATTTAGAAAAACGAGTTTCCCAACTATTAATCATGGAAACAGGCGTGAAATAGCAATTTGAAGTTTTCGAATTTCCGAAACAGTGAAATGTATGCCGCGGGAAGTATTTGTGCTTCATAGTAATAACTAACACTGTGTTTGGGTAGAAGAAAAATGAGGTAAAATATGGTAAAATGTGTCTAGAATCCCCTCGTGTTTGCCTGAATACACCTTTAACTTTTATCAAAATTTTGAACAGCCTGTTGTTCCGGTGTGGATATCTCTTCATAGCATTTTGTTTATTTTGATAAAGCGAATTGTTCGTGGTCAGTCTTTTATTTGGAAATCCAGCAAAGCTTGATCATCGCACTGCTAAAAAGACTAGACATCATTTAGAAAGGATACATATTTTTACTAAGCCTAAGCTTGACAAAAGTCAAATTGGTAGTGAGCATTTTGGAATCTGGCAAAAACTAGTATACGAACAGGCTCCTCAAAATCCTGTGATTTTTCTTGAAATGTTCAGTGTTGGGCCAAAGATGATTGGATGTATTGGATAAGAACATTTATAACAATTAGCAAAAGCTAAAAGAAAGATAATTGAGCTTAGAACACCACACAATCACTGATATGCTCTATGCTCAAGAAAACTCAGTATAACACTGAGCTAGAAAATACAAGGCTTTCAACTGTCATTGTATTTGTAAAACTACAAACACGTTTAATGAGCAGTCTATATATGAAGTGTTCTAATCTAACTAGTCAAAGAAAAGAAAGAAAGAAAGAAAGGAAGGAAGGAAGGAAGGAAGGAAGGAAGGAGGGAGGGAGGGAGGGAGGGAGGGAGGGAGGGAGGGAGGGAGGGAGGGAGGGAGGGAGGGAGGGAGGGAGGGAGGGAGGGAGGGAGGGAGGAAGGAAGGAAGGAAGAAAGAAAGAAAGAAAGGGGGGGGGGGGGCTTTCAACTGTCATTATACTTCTAAAACTACAAAAAGTTTAAAGTGTTCTAATCTAACTGGTCAAAGAAAGAAAAGAGAGAGGGAGGGGAGAGGGAGGGAAGGAAGGGGCATGTGGTAAAAACTTTTTAGCTATTATGGTGGATGATAACTTCCACTTTGCAAAAAAAAAAACTCATTCTGTTGCACTTCCTCCTAAAGTTGGGCCAGCTCACCAACAACATGCTAAATACTAAATTACTAATTCAAATGTCCAAAAACTCCAAACTAAGAGCCCGTTTGATAACCCTGTATTTTAGGCTTATCAGCCTTAGCAGCCAACTTTTTCACCAAACACGAAATTTTTGATTTCACGCACTCAACAGTGTAATAATCAAAATAAGTAAGATTGGAGTTACTTTTCTAGTTGCATTGGGTGAAGTTACTTTAGAGGATCATTTTAGCTATTTTCATATAATTTTTTCTTTATTTTATTATTACAAAGTATTTTAAATATAATATTTTCATAAATCAGCAAAATCCCCCACTTTAGCCATAACTTCATAAATTTAAGCAAAATCAACCGATTCAGCCGATTTCAGTGTAACCAAACGGGCTCTACATAAATTAATGATCAATAGTTATTTAATGATTGGTGTAAACGTCAAACAAGGATCTGCTACTGATTTCTCCTGTCATTAATTCCTTCTGTGCAGGATGCATTGATTGTACTGATTTCTCTTCTTTTTGCTGGTAGGAAGAGGGTGTCAAAGAGAGAGATCCTGGATTCAACTCCAAACAATGAATTGAGATGGAACTCACCCTCTTTCCATCAAAGTGTGATCTAAGTTCAATTTACGTCCTCCCAAAAAACTATCCGATCGGTTCTGGGGGACCCTCAGGGACGGGTGGCATTCCTTTTTGGGACATGAGGAGATGATACAGTTATTAAGAAAACTTGGATTATGTGAGTGATATTGAATTGATAAAGTTAGAATAAAGTAACAAATATTTAGAACCACATAAACCTTACCAAATTTGGTATGAGACAATTATAGTAGGACGAACTGAAAAGGAAAGATAGGACAATCTTAGTGGGGCGGAGGGAGTATATGTTATGAATGAAAAACTCGTTAATGTATAAAATATTAGCTTTATTTCACTCCAAAATTAATAATTCAAATAATAGTAAAATTAATTTGTTACGGATGCATTTTAGGGTTTTAATTAATTAGGAGTCCAGTTTGATGTTATCTTTATATTTTATTTATTACTTATTTATTTATATTTATTTATTGTTTCCTATTAGTAATAGAAGTATTAGAAGTTACAATTTTAGTTAGAGTAGAGCTCTATCATGTAAAGGCAGCCTGCCTATTTATACTCTTTATTCAGCATTAATAAACCATCGATCATTAGAAGAATTATTCCCAGAGAGAAATCACGGACTTCCCCCCTTCCCCTGCGTTCTTACTGCGCTCTTCCAGCCATGGGCAAGAAGAGGCGTAACCCTAGCAGACAGGTTACCACCTCAACCGGGTACCCTGCTAACCCAAGTCATCTCTGGACCCATTCTCAATCCCAGAACCCTAACATAATTATTTATGGTTTTATTTCAACCCAAACACAATAGGTGATGATAAGAAAGGAAAATAAAATTTATTTCCACATCTTATTTTTCCAGCCATTTCCATCATTTGCAATGGAGCCAAAGATTCATTATTTTTTGGCTTGAGAATATGATGAAATAAAGCAAAATGACCCCCCAAACTGTCTGCTCTTCTTTGTTATGAAGCAGCAGCCAGTCCATGCAATTTTGGACGTGATTTTCATTATGGGTCATCAGGAAACAGTCACTCTGAGCTTTAGTACAGGGGTAAGACTGCGTACATCCGACCTCCCCTTACCCCACCGTAGGTAGGAGCCTTTGCGACACTGGGGTAAATGAAGATTGATTGATTGATTGTCTTATTTTCTAGCCGACCCCAAAATCTTTTGGGAATAAGGCTTGGTTGTTGTTTTTGTTGTTGTTGTCTTATTTTCCACTCCTCTAGAATATTCTTAAACATAAAGTGAGCAGCATCAATAGAGCCGCTCTATGCCCTAAAGCCCTTCATAATTCGGAAACTCTACCCACTTATCAAGTCAAGGAAAATCAATGCTGCAAGAAAACAAATAAAGGTTCTAAGAAGATAACAAATACTCCGTATTAGTTTGAGATCCATGATGCCCAATTCACCTTAGGTTTAAAGTTATCCAGTTTTAGTTGACCTCACAACTCAAGTTGACAAATAACAAGATTAGAATAGCAATAATTACAACAATAATGATGATAAATGATAAAATTAGTAATTACCTTATGATCAATTTGAGCTTGCAAGGAAAACAGCCTCCCAAACTCCCAATTCTAAAATGTTAAAATATTCAGTGGCTAGTTTAGCCATAATATTTCAGATAAGAGGTGCTTCAGCAATCCAATGAAAGAATATTTTGCATCAAATACAGGAAGCACACAGAGTTAACACATGGGTGTTGTTTAGGAAGACATAGTGAAATACAATAAAAAATTTATGTTCTACATGCAAGTTCAATTTAAAAACACACAAAACATTATTGGATTGCATTACATGACATGTTATTACTGTCTACCAAACTACACCTCTAATGTGAACTTCAGTAGCTGGTGAAATGTTCATTTCCAAAACATCTGAATGCTAAGTTTAATATGAAAAAAGATTCAAAAAGCTTGATACTTTTACAACAAACTAAGTTGTTCAGTTTTTACATTTTACTTACCTAAGTTATCTTAAGAGCATTGCCAGAAAATTTAAGATACATTTCATACATCGAGGGTATTTTTTGAATACGGAAAAATGGAAAATGCTAGTGAAAAAAAACGTAGCTATGAATTTTATTTGCTTATGTTTTTCTTGACCTTGGAAAATATAAAGGAGAATTAAAGATGACTATTTGACTAATTCTCCCACAAAACATTTCATACATTTATACTCCACATTTCTTAATAATTAAAAAATACAGTACAAATTAATAAAATGAATACAACATCCAAGCCTTAATCCCAAAAGAGTGGGGGTCGGCTAACATTGAGCGACAAATGAATCGGAGCAAAAAAAGGATAAAAGGATGGCAAATTAATAAAATGAATACCTAAAACAAATTTACTGAGTTTGTGTATATCCTTTTTCATCAAACTTTATGATCTTCCCACTTTACTCTCTATTTTCTTTCCCTGGTATATTCAAGGTTCCAAACGGATCCCAAAAGTCTAACAAGTGCATTAAACAAGTTCATATTGGCTGAAGAAATTTACCTTTTTGCTGTGAGATATGTGAGAGATAGCTGGAAAATGGAGAACTTAAGAATCACTGCAGAGCCATAAAGGATAATCTACTATGTTCCAAGATAGCAGTTAAATCGAAAAGCCGAGTGTGCATAGTCAATTAGTCACTGTTCCTTACCTGTAACAGATGCAGTTCCTCCCAGTAGCTCAAATAGTGATTCAAGAAAATCAACATAAAATGAAACAACTCCTGTTACCACCACCATTAACATAAATCTCCATCGTAAAGAAAAAAACTTAAAATTCTCTTTCAGTCTTAATTACTACCTGGATTTCCCGGAATGAACAAAATATGCAATTCAGGCCTTTGGGCATGGATTTCAAGTAAATCAGTCTTGTAGCTGCCACACAAAAAGGTCAAGGAATTTACTCTACTGCGGAATGAATGGCTCCCCTATTAGGAAATTAATGTTGTTTTATGCAATTCATTTATGTACTTATTTAGTTTTCTTGTTTATGTATCAGATTAGATTTCTTTATCAGTTGTACTGATTCCTACAAATTCGGTTTGCTTTTGCCAATCTCTTATAATCTTCACATCTATAAATACAAACATGGACAAAATATTCACAACTCTAGGCTTTCATAAATCTCTTCATATTTAATGGTATCAGAGAAATTTTAAGGACAATAGGAATTGCAATACATTTTGCCAAAAAGAAATAAGAATTGCAATACATAGACACAACAACCGCACATATGGTTTTAAAAGTCACATAGACAACAGAGAATTACCCAGCAACATTGCAGAGGCGGAATTTGGCTTGCTGTTTTTTGTTTATCAGACTCGAATCCTCAGGAACCATTCGTGAAATTCTGCAGCTTTAAGAAACTAATCTTCTTCTGCAAGTTTGTTTAGGAGAAATGGAAGGAAGTGTGACACTGTGGTGCAAAACCTGGAGTTGGGGTGAACAGATTGAGGTAAAGAAAAATGGTGATGTACACAAAATGTGTAAAGTCTTTTGTAGATAAATGTACAGAAAAAGTGTACCCAAATGTGTACACCTAGCATAGTTCTTGAGATAAATGGGAGACAATGCTAAATATCCTCTTATGTGGAACGGAGTTCGAGATGCGGGGTTGGATTTGGTCCGATTTATAGTTTTTTCTCGAAACAGGGCTAATTGAATAAATAAATCCTGAAATATTGCTGGATTAAAAATAATTCCCAAAATACTGCTCGAGTTAAACGTGGTTAAGAAAAGACGCCGCTTGAAGTGGCGGCTCTTCTCTTACAGTATACTAGCCGCCACTTCAAGTGGCGGCTCTTCTATTACAGTACAAAAGCTGCCACTTGGACTGACGGCTCTTCTCTTACAGTACCACGCCAGCTTATTCAACCGAAAAAAACACAAAAACCTGCTCAGTATTGTACAATCAACTCAGAAACATCAAAAGGCTGCTATTTATATGAGACACAAAAGGAATCAATGAACTATATTGGATTACATAACCAAGCATTCCAGCCCAGTGAGGTTATCGTGCCTAGTGAGGTCTCAAGTTCGAAACCCGCTAGACACATAAGAGTTTGAAACTTAATGGAGTGAGTTTCAGCCCAGATTACTCCAGACCCCCCAGCCCCCTGGAGTAGGGCTGAGCAAAATCCGATCCGACCCGAAAAACCCGATTTTTTTTCCGGATATTATCCGAACCGAAGTGGATATCCGACCCGAAAAACCCGAAACCGAAAATCCGATTAGTATTGGGCCTAGACCGGGTGGCGGGTAGGGTTTGTGAAATCCCAACCCGACCCGCCCAAATATCCGAAATATATGTTAGTGTTTACTTAAAATATTTAAATTAATACTTGTGTTCAATTATTTGTGCAATTTGTATTAAATTATTTGTGTAAATTGAATGTGTAGTGAACTAGTGTGTACAATTTTTGTTAAAGTGACATTCCAACACTTTAACTATCCAATTATAATGTGTTTTGATTTAACCAAAATATCCGAAATATATTAAATTTTGTAGTGTGTACTTTGAATATGTTAAATTAATACTTGTGTTCAATTATTTGTGTAATTATTTGTGCAATTTGTGTTAAATTATTTGTGTAATTTGGAAGTTTAGTGCACTAGTGTGTACAATTTTTGTCAAAGTGGCATTTAAACACTTTAATTATCCAATTATAATTTTTTTTTAATATAACCGAAATATCCGAAACCCGACCCGATATCCGATAATATCCGACTTAAAAATATCCGAAATACCCGATTTGAAATATCAAAGGGTCGGGCCTAGTATTTAAATTAAAAAACCCGAACAGGTTTAAGGTTCGTAAACCCGACCCGCCCGAACCCGACCCGTGCACACCCCTACCCTGGAGTAAAAACAAATAGAAGAAGAACTATATTGGATTACAATACTAGAAGCATCACATAAAGATGATTAGCTATTTATCTTGATCGACACACAAAACGAGTCAATCAAAATTAGACACATACTAGAATTCATTTTATATTCTTGTACATTACTGTATGGTAGATGGCTTTTTGCTTACGTCACTCGCACGACATCCGCTGTTGGATTAGGGTACTATCGAGATGCATTAGATGACATGTGTGATGATCAGGTATACCCCTTGTTTTAAAAATCGGCCTAGTTGGACCGATTAATCGGCCTAGGCGGCCCTAACTGTAGAGGCCTAGTTGGCCTAGCCGGTCAAAAAATCGGCATAGTTGGCCAAAAAATTGGCCTAGTCGGCCGCCTAGGCGCCCCTCAACCGCCCGACTAGCGCCTAGCGAGTTTTAGAACAATGGGTTTACCCTGTATATCATTAAGTATAACTACTTTGTTTTAGGTTTTATATACAATGATGTCATAATATTTTGTATTATAGATGATGCAGATGCCATACACTCACGAGATTTTAGGACAGTTGCATGTTGTTGGCCGAGAGCACACTGAGACATGGAAAACACGTGTGCCTTTGATTTGTTTTGATGTAGTGTAGCATCACATTCCCGTTCATGTACTATGGAAATTCGGGTTACAGCAAGGTATTCCCTTACCTTGTGATACTTCTGTAGACTTACACAAGATCACCAGACAAGGGAAACACACTGAGATTGGGGGATGCACCATATTCAATATATCACCATGTGGGATGAGAGAGCGGCGTATATAGTGGACGGGATCCCATCAGTAGCCCCCACAATCTCTGCAGATTACATGAGATGATATCACACCATCACACGGGTGTTCATCTTTCCTAGTTTTCGTCTACCCACCGATCATCACCAGCCTAGCTCAGTCGCTCTTCATTTGATGGTATACAATATATTCACATGAATGACTTTATTTATTTATTTATTTATATATTCATGTGTTTATCACTAATAAACATGCTTTCGTTACAAACACGGACTTTGCATACTATCCATGACAGAGTGACTATTGTACTTGATGAGGAGGTAGATGTACAGGGATATCACGAGGTATGCTCGGGCATTGATGCACTGTATATTGATGTATTGGGCCAAGTAGACCATGGATATGTGGCCGCCTCTCAGTATTCCACGACATCTACATCCACAGCAAGGTCTTTCCAAGCAGTACGACGTGATAGAGTGATTCTTCAAACTCGTAATTAATCAGAGCAGACGCCCCTGAACTCAGACACAAGCACAACCACATTAGCGTTATGATGATGATCACGTTGACTTGTGATATTTGTACTTTACATTCCTGTGTTAAACATGAATTAGCTGATCGAATTATCAACTATATGTGATATTTCTAGTATTGTAACCAATGTAGTTCATTGACTCGTTTTGTGTCTCAGATATGTTTTGTTTTTTAGTGCTCTATATTGACTATAAATAGCAGCTTTTTGATGTTTCCGAGTTGATTGTACAATACCGAGCAAGTTTTTGTGTTTTTTCCGGTTGAATAAGCTGGTGTGGGACTGTAAGAGAAGAGCCGCCAATCTAAGTGGTGGCTTTTGTACTGTAAGAGAAGAGCCGTCACTTCAAGTGGTGGCTTTTCTTATTAACCACGGTCAACTCCAGCAGTATTTTGGAAATTGTTTTTAACATATCAGTATTTGGGGATTTATTTATTTAATTAGCATTATTCCGGGGAAAAACTCCCAATCTGTTACAGAATTTCACCGAGATAAACTTCTTTGCTTGTTCACAATATTTTCCACTAGTTCTTGAATATTACGTAGTACTTCTTGGTTTTTGCCATTTTTCTTAAATATTACTCCACAATAAAATTTATGGATAAACATGTTATTGAAATTATCATAAAAGTGCATTCATGATCACTAATATGTAAGATTGATGATAGGGGCCTAGATAATATTAGTGATAAGGATAATATTGTCTTTTAATAGTGTATAATAAAAGGGGCTTAGGCCCTGTAACTAAATAGCAGCGGGCTGACCAATAAGGAATATATCTAATCTAAAAACGTTATAATTGTGAATAAGGGTTGATATCCTTAATTTATGTCAATATGTTGTATGCAAAATGAATTGTACATTGTCCTTTAAAAGTGGGACTTCACTTCTCACGAGCTCCTATACTATACACCCGGGTGTAGGTACATCCGGACCAAATTAAAGAGAGAGTCCAATTAAATTATCAAGCCCATAAGAAAAGGCCCAATATTGTCTAACCGCTTAAGAATTGAATGACAGACCTCGCTTTCTTCCTCAAGAACATCAAACTTAATCGAATTTGGCTTTGAGGAGTTAATCGAATTTGGCTTTGAGGAGTCTGAAATCGTGCTCAACTTGCTTGGATTTCCACCTCGCCCTTTTGTTCTGAAACCATATCGCCACTTGACGTGGTTGCAGCCCCAAATCTCTGGCAACTTGCAGCTTCTTCATCTCCAGCTTTGTTTCCAACCTGAAAATGGTTTCCAGCGATTTCACTTGCTCATTGCTGAACCTCTTACAACTACTCTTCTCGCCCTTCTTCATCGACGCCGCCGTCTTCCGCCAGACCTCCGTCCTCAGATTCCTGGGTTTCTGCCGCTTCACACTCTTCTTAATCCTCCATCTAGATCTTCGCTGGTTCCGGCCGGCTGACTGTACTGAACTGTACAGATCATTTAACTAAAACAGTCTAATTTTTTTTGGCGTCATTTTGTAATTTAAGCAAAAAATCGCGGCTTCCGCTAAATGAGCATCGGTGTACATTTAGTGAGTATCTCACATATTCTATTGAGTATTAAAAGCCAAACAACGAGTACTGCAATCTCTGCTTCATACATCTAAGTCACTTTCTTTTTCTTATTTTTTCTTTTATAAAAACTTATTAAATTATATCTATAAATAACTCCTATGAGTTTCAATATGTGAATTTAATGTAATATGTCACTTTTTAAATACGCATTGATATGACATTTTACATATGAGCATAAAATCAGTACCAAATGATCACGTGTAAGTGGTGTAACTTACACAATGTGCATTGACATGAAAATCGTGTTAATTGAACATCACGACATTTTCATTGATCATCAAACCTCATCTATTGAGATGAAATTCATGGTTTCTGTTAAATGAGCATTGATGAACATTTACTGAGCATCAGACCAATTATGTTGAGTAATAGGAGTCTGATATTGAGTATCGTGATCTATGCTTCATATCTTCTAATTCTTTTTCTATTTGTTATTTTTTTTAATAAAAACTATTAAATTATATCTATAAACCACTCCTATTAATTTCAATGTGAGTCTAATATAATATGAAACTTTTGAAATATGTATTGAGATAGTATTTTATAATATTTGCATATTGATATGAAAATGGTAAGGTTTGTTAGTTGAATATCATGACATTTTAATTGAGGATCAACCTCCACTGTTGAGATGAAAATCACGACTTCTGGAGAATGAGTAATAATGAAGTTTTAATGAGCATCAAACCTATGATATTGAGTATTAGGAGTCCAATATTTAGAATCGTGATCTCTGTTTCATAACTTCTAATTCACTTTCTTTGTTGTAATTTTTTCTTTTATAAAAACTTATTACATTATATTTATGACATTGATGTGACATTTACAAAATGAGCATAAGATCAGTACCAGATGAGCACACATAACTTACAAAATGAG